GGCGAGTTTGGGGATCGGCGAAGGGGTTGATAACGTGGCAGATACGGGGAAGGTGACGTCAAGGGAGGTGGTAGAACAGCAATTTGCGCGGGGGATGTGTAGCATGGTGGCGCGGAAGGATGAAGAGGTAGTTGTATCCCAGCGCGAAAGTATATCTTAGAAGCGGAATGGGAAAGAGGCATGATGGAAGAGTGGTGTGTCGGCTGAAATGTTGCAGTGTTTATTTTCTACGCAATTAGATTACTTTCACCCCAGTGACGATCTACTCGTGAGGGAAGCGCAGCTTCTTGAGCAGTGCTCCTATCCTAGCGCCACCGTCGCTAAACGTACTCAATTGAAATTAATATAAACAAATTTAGATCATAAAGAAAATGCCCTTACAGGCATTTCAGTTCCACGATCCACTGTTATCACTTTTATCCCTCAATGCACCTCGTCCACATTTCAGGCTTAAAACTACCCGATCTTTTGAGGATTTCTGAACTCTCAAGGAATTGCCTCGAAACTTTCGTGACATTTAACGTAAATGTTTTATAAGAAAATGTAATTGTAATTTTAAAAAATAGATTCATCCAAGCAGCTTTCATCGAGAGAGCAGTTCTGGTAACAAAGGAATGCTATAAATAAACAATATTCCCTGAGCTATCTCCACCTTAACTACTCTACTCTTACATGAAATGTCTCATCAGGTAAACCAGACCCGGCCGACGGTCCGCCGCGCCTACCGGTGCAGTGAGCCGCGTCAACCACTACTTTTAGGGCCATTAGATGTTCCAACATTCTAAAAACTGAGTGCACTTGAGGCCCCGTCCTCGCTGCGCTGCATCTGCATCAGACACCTCGAACGGTGACAGTCGCCGTGAAGGGACCTTCGGGATGCCATGACTCTCCGCTTCGAAGAGCCAACCGATGGGTAGACTAAATCAGGTCTTTAAGATGGGTGTGGGGATGGATCCTACCTCTCAGCCGTGATAGGACAAGTCTTATTCTCCGATGTTACCATCCCATGGCACATTGAGCATGCTCTTACCACTCTCTCTGTACCTTGTAATATCTTCCGTAATGTAATCAAAAGATGTAGATTTAAAAATTTCATTATGTTTTTGTGCCTTAAGTTCAGGAAGTGCGTTTCTTATGTAATCTAATTTGAGACTTGATCATTTGGCCACATGGAAATATCCTCTACCATTCCTTTAACTAACTGAGACAGTCAACTTCGGTTCTCTTTTCCATACCAAGTTTTATGTAACAGGGAACCATCGTTCTCCATTGTTTCTCTCCCTCTCGCATTGTAAAGTAAATCTCATCACTTTGCTAATTTTGTTTCTTAATCATTATCCATTTATTGGTTTTTTTATTTTTACTTTTATTTTTTATTTACTTTTATTCTCTTCAATACATTTTCTAATCCTTTACACGTTTTCTGTACAAAGAGAAACGCCTGGAGTTTCGACCTGGCTATTTGAACTCTCAGTTCTAGTTCAATTTAAAATCTTTGCCTTTCCCATCTGTGACAGACACATCATGACATTGAAGGTCATCTGACCCTCTCCACGCTCTCAGAATGGAGATTCAAAGTATAACTTAACTAAGTATAACTTAAACAAATTGGCTGAAAAGGACCATGTGCAGACAATACTCGAGCCATTGCCGTAGACGCGTTCATGTGTTTCATCTCGCGTTTGAATTTTACCCGGGAAATTGCAACGAATGTTTCCTTCTCGATTTCCACAGCGTTATTACCCTTTCAGATAACTCTCTAAACACACTGTCTAGATTTGTTATAACCTCGGTTGCGCCGTCAAGCCAGAACTTGCCTTCCCTTAGTTTGATATTGTGTGCAAGATGTTGAGCCGTATGATCTAGGGCAATCACCTGCAATGCGGCAGTCACTGAGGTACGGTATGCTCCCAACAAGACCAGAAGGGCAACTCTGGTTCGCCTTCGGGTCGATGGCTTATTAGCTTTCTTTCGAAGCAGGGCTTCTTTTGTTATTTTCCAAACATCTGGGAATGTACTCTGCTTTAGGCACTGCTTTTAAAGCCCAAGCAGATGAGTACAGATATATGGAACGGCAAATTTTATCATTTCTGGGGGCGATTTGTCTAAATCGGGCGCCTTGCCCAATTTCAATTCCGAGGGTGTTTGTTCTAATTTGCTAAAAATAAACTCACCAATAGACATCCCTGGCAATGCTTCTTGAATGTTTTGCTTTCAGTTGTCTTGCATTGGGGTATCAGTTTCAACATTATTATTGGATAACAACAATTTAGCAGAGTATCACAAGTTTTTTTCCAAGAGAAGAATCAAACAGATTTCCTCGGTTATGTACGCCGGGTCATCATTTATTTTCCTTTTCTTCGACGCAATTTTATAAGGAATACCCCAAGAGTCACATTCTGATGATTCTGTGGCATAGAGTTGCCAAGATCCTCCTTTAGAATCTCGAATATTTTCGGTACTTTTATTTTTGTATCTCGTTGCTTGCTTCAACAAATTCTCTAAATACGGATTTATTTTCTTTGCTCTCCTTTTTTAACCTCCTGACTATCCTGACCATATCATAAAGTTCTATCGACCACATGTCGGTACCTTTGCTCTTGACACTAGCCCATGCGCTACTGTCTTCCTTGCTGTCTCCACGATTACTCCCGTTATCAGATTCAGTCGTTCATTTCTGGATTCAGCACCGTCCAACTCTGGCCAGTTGGTTATTGTTTTAGCAATCTCTTTTTGAAAGAGTGCGCAGTTAGCTTTCTTAATTCAAAACCTTCCTATCAGCCGAGGCCCAGGTTCCTCCGTACTCGCAAAAGAATTTCTTCCAGGAAGGTCAGGTAGGAAAGGCTCAGTTTACTAAAAAATTAAACATTAGATCACTTTTATATTCGCTATATCAGTAGAAGACATCAAATTGAAATTAAGCGAGCAGTCGTGATACCATACTAGTGGCCATGGTTACTTGATTCTCGGACTCACTTCGCCCTCCAGTATCCTAGAAAATGAAACTGAAGCACAGGACTTGACGCGCGAATGCTTTCTACAACGTCGACAAATTGCATTTTAATTAATAAAAATTCGTTTTACTGTATACCTACAATTATTTTGAAAGTGGTCTCTTAAAAGGAGTAAATAAAAGAAATTGCTATTTAGGGACGCGTTGTTGGTCGGGGAGAAGGATGGTCCGTTAACAGGTATATAATTTGTATCTAATATACTGATTTCAGTCTCAATTCGAAAAAGTATAGGTCGTTGAGATGTGTGGTCTTTCAGTGAAATTTCACTGTATTTGGTCTTCCATTGTCATAATTTTTCACCGTTCCTGACCTTCCCGTATAACATTATTATTAATTTAAATAGCACTAAGGAGGAATTCAGAGTATTTATCATTGAACACTACGATGATGTGTTCACTTTTTTCGTTTTTTCGAAATTCTTTCCATCCGAAGATGTAATTAATTTCATTACAGTGTCTAATTTTAAGGGGAAGTGCGAGTTCACGTAAATTATCAATTTTATATCATTTAAAAATTCAAATTACATACTGAGGTCATTATTCAACAGCTTTCATTGCCAGTGTAATTTAATTGTACGAATAATGAATGGCAGGGTATAAAATCTATCAGTGTTGTTAATTAAAGAAAGGTCATTTATTGTTGTCTTCAGTTCAAGGAGTTTATGGATCAAGTGAGAGGTTTAAGAGTAAAGTCAATAATTATTAAATTGGGTACTAATTCTTTTAATTTTGCTTATCCTTTGCAACTCTTACTCTCCAAGCAAATTATGCAACTGATATAGGTAAGAACGTAATAATCCGTTTTAAGTGTAATGATTAAACAATTCTTCTGATTTTCATGGTTGCATTTAATTGGTTTGAAAGTGTCTTCTTGATTTTATTGTTAAATAATTTAACGTGTATAATTTAATAAAGACATTTTTAACGTGAATGTAACGTAAATAAATTAATAAACAGCGCAACATTTACAGATTTTCTCTTAAAAGCACTGTATTTTCAGCATCCAATCTTCGTGCTCATTTCACTTACTAAAACTGCGTACTGGCTAATTTCGTACCATCATTGAAACAGGCTATATCAAGATTTTATGAAGATGAGTTATGAAATGCAATAAAGAGAAACTAATTATCGCCAATCATATTTATTGGTTTTTCGATCGAAAGTTCTTCCCAAACGACAGTTGGGAAATAAAACAATCAATCACGAATATGGTCTAAGCTTATTATAAAGAGTAGAATGCACTTTTTAAATAACTCAAATAAAACAGAAAGGCCAATACAATAAAAGATAAATTTCGGGACCATAAAATGACTGCCTCCGAAATATACTCCGTGATTAATTATATTTTTTATAGATTCTTCGAATCGTCAATCAACTGAATTGGATCGAAAGATTTTTTGGCCTAAATGAAAATATACAATACAAGGATATTTTAAACGAATGAACCTATTTCCACGCCCTGTTTCTCAGTTCTCCAGCAACTTCTACAAACGAATCACTTGCTTATGAAAATACAGTTTTTAAGTTTCGAACTCTTTCACTCGCCAGCACAGTACTCTCAATGTCCGGCCATGAATAGGATGAATTCATTGACCATCACGTTCATCCGTTGTTCATTTCATACAGAAAGCTTCAACTTTACTGGAATCGCGTATAACACTTTTTAACATGAACATACCCTCCGGCGGTGCCCAGATGAGCTAATTTGTAAGTTACGAGCAAAAATAATGCGCTACAAAACATGAGTAGCGCGGAGAAATTACTTGTAAAGAGAGGTGGCAACACAGCTTCCCTAACCCATTGAGGTAAGCGAGGGGCGTGTATTAAAGGGAAAATTCACGGGATACCACATTGTCGGTGTCTTTAATACCAGAACAGACGTCTTTCTACTCCTGTGTCCCCCCAATAGGCTGAATGTAGCATGTGAGTGTCTGACGGGCGGCGCCGCTCTGTGCGTTGCAGCTGCGCGCGCGGGGACTTCGTGAAGCTGTTCCTGCACCTGGAGCGCGCCGACGTGAACGAGTTCACGCCCTGGTCGGCGCTGCTGTGCGGCGGGCTGGCCGACGTGCCGCGCCGCCTCTACAGCTCGGGCCCCGGCCTCGTGCTCGAGTTCCACTCCGACCGGCGCCCCGGCAACGCCTCGGGCTTCCTCGGCCGCTTCCGCTTCATCGACAGGCGTGAGTACTCCGCGCCCCGCCACGCCCCACCACACGGCCCACCTCACGCCCCACGCCACGCCCCACCGCCCCACCCCACCCCACGCCACGCCACACACGACCGCCACCAGTTCCACTCCGACCCGCCGCCCGGCACGCCTCGGGCTTCCTCGGCCGCTTCCGCTTCATCGACAGGCGTGAGTACTCGCCCCGCCACGCCCACACACGGCCCACCTCACGCCCCACGCCCGCCCCACGCCCCACACCACCCCACGCCACGCCACACACGACGCCACACAGTTCACTCGACCGCCCCCGGCAACGCCTCGGGCTCCTGGGCCGCTTCCGCTTCATCGACAGCGCGTGAGTACTCCGCCGCCCCGCACGCCCACCAACACGGCCCCACCTCACCGCCCCACGCCACGCCCCACGCCCCACCCCACCACGCCACGCCACACACGACGCCACCACAGTTCCACTCCGACCGCCGCCCCGGCAACGCTCGGCATTCCTCGGCCGCTTCCGCTTCCAGTCGGACAGGCGTGAGTACCTCCGCGCCCCGCCACAGCCCCACCACACGGCCACCTCACGCCCCACGCCCACGCCCACGCCCCACCTACCCCACGCCACGCCACCACACGACCGCCACACAAGTTCCACTCCGACCGCCGCCCCGGCAACGCCTCGGGCTTCCTCGGCCGCTTTCCGGTTTCATCGACAGGCGTGAGTACTCCCGCGCCCCGCCACGCCCCACCACACGCCCACCTCACGCCCCACGCCACGCCCCACGCCCACCCCACCCCACGCCACGGCCACACCGGACGCCACACAGTTCCAACTCCGACCGCCGCCCCGGCAACGCCTCGGGCTTTCCTCGGCCGCTTCCGCTTTCATCGACAGGCGTGAGTACTCCGCGCCCCGCCACGCCCCACCACACGGACCACCTTCACGCCCACGCCGCGCCCCCAGCCCACCCCACCCACGCCACGCCCACACGACGCCCACACAGTTCCACTCCGACCGCCGCCCCGGCAAACGCCTCGGGCTTCCTCGGCCCGCTTCGCTTCATCGACAAGCGTGAGTACTCCGCGCCCCGCCACGCCCCACCACACGGCCCACCTCACGCCCCACGCCACGCCCCACGACCCTACCCCACCCAGCCACGCACACACGACGCACACCAGCTTCCACTCGACCGCCGCCCGGCAACGCCTCGGGCTTCCTCGCCGTTTCGCTTCATCGACAGGCGTTGAGTACTCCGCGCCCCCCACGCCCACAACGGCCCACCTCACGCCCCACGCCACGCCCCACGCCCCAACCCCACCCACGCCACGCCACACACCGACGCCCACACAGGTTCCCACTCGACGCCCCCCGGCAACGCCTCGGGCTCCTCGGCCGCTTCCGGCTTCAGCGACAGGCGTGAGTACTCCGCGCCCCGCCACGTCCCCCACCACACGGGCCCACCTCACGGCCCCACGCCACGCCCCACGCCCCACCCCACCCAACGCCACGCCCACACACGACGCCACACAGTTCCACTCCGACCGCACGCCCCGGCAACGCCTTCGGGCTGCCTCGCCCGCTTCCGCTTCATCGACAGGCTGTGAGTACTCCGCGCCCCCCACGCCCCACACCACGCCCACCTCACGCCCCACCGCCGCGCCCCCACGCCCACCCCACCCCACGCCACGCCACACACGACGCCACACAGTTCCCACTCCGACCCGGCCGCCCCGCAACGCCTCGGGCTTCCTCGGCGCTTCCGCTTCATCGACAGGGCGTGAGTACTCCCGCCCGCCACGCCCCACCCCCACGGCCCACCTCACTCCCCACGCCCTCCTTACGACCCCAGGCCCCGCCCCACGCCCAACCCCACGTCTCCACCCCACGCCTCACCCACGCGCCCACTCACGCTCCACCAACCCCACGCTAACGCCCCACCCCACGCCACGCCACACACACGCCACCACGCCAGCCACACACAGCCCCACCCTACGCCACCACACCACGCCACCACACCACGCCCCACCCCACCGCCAACACACACGCCACACACCACGCCACACACACGCCACACACCACGCCACACACCACCGCCACCACGCCACACGCCACGCCGCGTCATGCCACACGCCACACACCACGCCACACACCACGCCCCACTACGACACACCACGCCCCACACACGCCCCACACCACGAACACACACCACGACACACACCACGACACACACCACGACACACACCACGACACACACCACGACACACACACGACACACACACGACACACACACGACACACACCACCACACACACCACCACGCACACCACCACGCACACCACCACGCACACCACCACGCACACCACCACGCACACTACGAATGAATGACAACACACGCATGCCACGAAATAATACATTGCACACAATATGTAACACAACTTGTATGTGTGTATTGAAGAGCTAGTAGTTTTCTAGTTCTGTAAGTTAATTGCTCTATGGTTTTGATCATTTGCTCAAAACAGCAATTTTACGAGGATATAATTCTCCACTTCAAATAACGTAATGTTGTATTTTTACTTTATATGGTATTTTTCATGGGCAAAATCAAAATCTGTAAGCACTAGGCTCTTGAAAGTAAATTGAGTTTAAATGACTGTTACTTCATTGCTGTAAACGTAAAACTCAGTGATCCATTATTGTTTGGCCTGCTTTGATTTTCGCAGAATTTTGTCGACAACGTATATAATCGTAATAAAATCCGATGCCATAAATGTTGGTATTGCTATCTAAATACCAAATGAATTTCATTCCTGCATTTCACAGACCGGCAAAGGTGGTTCAGAACATCAACTGATGTCACCGCAGTGCCTCTCACCGGGAGGTCCTAGGGATCGAATCCCAGCGGTGGCAGCATTTTTGTAACACTAGCTTGCCAGCAGCGTCGAATTCAGCCTCTGTCTGGAGCAGAATTCAAGCGGCCGGCTGCTCTGATCCACTACAGGCGAATGCTGACGCAGTACGGGCCACGGACCGCCCACCATCTTTCTTCCCCTCACACATACTACACTAACAACCTTGTCGGGAGCTTAGAGCTTGTCCTGACTGGGGCGGTGTCATGCTGGTGGGAGATAGCTGGTTGAGCGAAACCCAACCCGCAAGTCGACGTAATTCGGAGCCGGCGAGCAAAGGTCACAGCCACCTCACACGATACAAACATGCACTACACTGACGGGACTAAACACCTTAGCCATTAATGCCCTGGAATCACAATTCAATCAATTGATGATATTCGCAATATCTTTTGAATATTCATTACTCGAGAACCTCGAGGTCAACTTTTTGTGAGAAAATTATGAGAAAAAACGAAAATATGACGTGTAACATTAAATACTAATTAATATACGTTCCTAATCCAGTGAGTCACAGCCATTGTAGCCATCACTCAAACTTCATCTTACACTACATAAGTAATTACCTTGGTTATGATAGAGACTGAAAGCAACGCAGTTTAAAATATATGCCAGAAAAAAATAAATCACACCTTTGACGTTCCAATTAATATGAGAAAAATACCTACCTGCCTCATTATTTTTTTGAACAATAATTCCTAACAAAATGGATTAAATTGTGACATTAAGTCATTTTTTAATATAATATCGTTTGCCTGATCTGTGAGGTTTCCTTGGGTGAACGGCGTTCGCGAAAGGTCATGGACGTTACTCCTAATTAGCGAGCAAGAAGTTGTTGCGAGGGAGTTCAGCGGAAGGGAAAGCTGCAAAATTAAGCCTCGGCCTACCATCTCCGCCCATGGAATAAAGTCGGTCGCGCTGAATGTACGAGATGCAAATAGAATTACGCTTCAAGTATTGCATTGATGTCCAATTTGTGAGTTCTTTGTTTGAAGAATAATGTATTTTAAATATATTAATGTATCTTAATATATTAATGTCAGAACAAGATATTTTATTTACAACCGTTTAATTACTTAACATTTCCATTCGTCATATCCAGAGTTATGTTCAATTTCGTTCATTTATGTTTTCATTGTTCAATACAGTCACAATCATAACACATTTGAATATCGTTTTAATCTCGCTGTAATGGCAAAGGATTGGCAGAATCATAGCTTTGTACTTGGATTTTATTATACAAAGAGAAACATTTTGGCACATAAGTATTCAAAATTCACTTTGAGACCAGCTCTAATGTGCTAAATCTCACGAGAATAGAGTGTAGATATAATAGATGAACATTAAGAGTAAACTCAAGCTAAATGACCCCAACACAAATACATCACGAAACTCACTACAAAAAGCTTATTATGGAAAGTTCAAGGGTAAAACCTATCTTCAAATAGGACACAGTCATCAAGAAAATATCACTAAAATCATATTAAACGTCAACAAATGACTCGTTGAATTCCCATCTAGCACTAAAAATGCTTACTATTATGAAACTTAACGTCAAAGAGGGTTTTTCACCTTCAAAATATATTACTGAGACAGTTTCAAGAGCAATACCTTACTATTTTGAATATGCGCTTTCAAATTTCCTCTCCTCAGGAGACACCAGTGATCTGAAATTGCCTTCGCGTCACCTGCCTAATATACAACCCTTCCAATCTGATTGATAATCATACACGTGGCAAATCTCTACATTAACGAATATGCATTGATGAATATTCCTCTGAAACGCATGCGTGCTCGCATGTGTGTCTCTCTGTGTCTCTGTGTCTCTCTGCGTCTCTGTGTGTCTGTGTCTCTCTCTCTTTTTCTCTCACTTTTTCTCTCTCTCTTTCTCTCTCTCTTTCTCTCTCTCTCTCTTTCTTTCTCTCTCTCCCTCTCTCTCCCTCTTCCTCTCTCTGTATCTGTCTGTCTGTCTCTGTCTGTCTGTCTGTCTCTCTGTCTCTCTGTCTCTGTCTCTCTGTCTCTCTGTCTCTGTCTCTCTGTCTCTCTGTCTCTGTCTCTCTCTGTCTCTCTCTGTCTCTCTCTTTCTCTCTCTCTTTCTCTCTCTTTCTCT